CTGTCTGGACTCGAGTCCTGGCTCCGCCACTTACCGGCTGTCCCATTTCAAAAAAGAGATCAACCTCTCTGTGTTTCGGTTGTGTCATTCACCAAGTGGGCTGAGTGACAGTGTTTGTATATTTTGTGGGTGTTATAGGATTTGGTGAGTATCTGCTTATCCAGGAGGTAAAGCAACCTCATTAGCGTGTTACTAATATTCTCAGTCACATCTGTACCTCCACACAGCCTCCACAGTGGTCATGTAAAACTAGGAATCCCTTCATGTCACTGACTGCTTAAAATACCTGGGTGCTGCCCACCTCGAGGGGAATGAAACCCAGACTGCTCACCACGGCCACCTGGAGGCAGGCCCGTGCCTCACTCTCCACGCTCATCTCTCTCCCTGGCCCCGTCCCTGGACCTGCCCGCCAGACACACCGGTCTCCTTCCTGCTCCTCAAAGCCTTTTCTTCCACAGGCTCTTTTCTCGGACCACACTCCCCCCAGATCTTCAGACACTTTCTGGTTCACTTCTCAGCTCAAGGCAGATTCAGGATCAGATTTAGGGGTGCCTTCTCCGACCATCGTATCTCAACTACACTCTGCCACCACTGCTGTCCTGTTTAATAAATTTTTTTAAAAAGTGTTTGTGAACCTAGGGGCTCATCGCATCCTTTATAGCCCTTGTCACATAAACAATGCATAAGTTAGGATATTTATTTATCTGAAGAAATTTGTAGTGGTGTGGAAGGTCTTTGGAACCGAGTCTCACTCTTATTCTGTAATGCTTTCCCTATGCTCTCTTAGACTACAGTGTGGTTCTCAAAGTTCAGTGCGTGTCGTGCCCACCCCCAGAGTTTCTGATTCAGTTGGTCAGGGAAGATCTCTTTGGGGAGGTGATATTTAAGTTGGGATCTCAAAACTGAGGAGTCCAGTCCATGGGAGCTGAAGGCAGAGAGTTGCAGGTAGAGGGAACAGTAGGTGCACACACTCTGAACTGAAGAAAGAGTAGAACGGAGTAACAGAAGTAAGGCTGGTGTGGTGGAAGCTTGGTGAGTGACTAGGAAAAAAATTCCTGGGTGAGGTTGAAGAGGAGGCAGGGGCTGGATCAGGCAGCACCTGATTGGTCATCAGGAGGAAGGTAGATTTTATTCTGAGCCAACGGGAAAGCTTGGAGAGGCCTGAAGCCAGAGAGAAACATGGACCAATTTACATTATATTCAGTGCTCAGAGAGCCTTGTAAGGGAACAGAGATGTGGTAATAACATTCATCCCACCCCTTCCACTGAAGCAACCATTGGCTCCATACTGTCTTCCTGCTGCATATTTTGGACTCTGAAGCTGCCGTAGAACTACTTTAAGGCAGGCAGTTGCCATTGTAGCAAATGGAATAATATAATGTCTGCCTCAATCCCAGAGTTGAAGGGAACTCTCCAGCTCACATGCCCTTAAGGGATAGCCCAATCAATTTCTCATGTGGAGGAATTTCATATTCCACCTTATCTGTCCTATGGCCTGGGTCCCACTGATTGGACCAGGAGAGACACCACGGTATCCAGAACCCAGACTAACCAGCAGTTTGTGACATGACCCAACACAAGGCTTTGCCCATCGATGTCAATGATAGTGAGCAATTCCCTCCAAATAGACTCTGCTTTTTGTAACAACAGTAGCAGATGATAGCAGGACTAGGAGCTCACACACGGAGAAACGTCACGAGAGCAGAGTTACGAGGCAGTTAGAAATGAGCAGAACCGATTGGTAAGCATTTCTCTAAAAAATGCCCAGAGCAAAGGAGGTTGTTTGGTTGTGGTAGAAGAGGCAGAAGCCAAGGCAAAAAGATGCTGATCTCCAGCCGGTGGAGAGTCAATTAACCTCCGCCCCTGGGAAAGGGAATGAATGGACACAACAGAGCCCCGGCGTGTAGAGGAGTGCTGAGTCCTCCAGGGGGATGCACTGCAGGCGCTCGAGCAGGTCTGTCTGCATGGCTCTTCCTGGGGTCTCCGTGTCTCCGCTCTAATTCCTACATGTGTCCTGGAAATACCTTCCTCACTGCCCCCCATCACCCAGGGTAATAATATCTTCCCATTACCCAGGCCTTTGCCAGAGGGAAGCCTGATGACCCCACTGCATTTAGGAATGACTTATTTTCTGAATTTCCTTTATGGCCTTCCAATATGCAGCTCTGTTATCATTTAGGCCAGAATAAATAATGTCTTCATTTTAAGTTGAAACTTTAGTTTTAGATTTACATTTACCTTCAGAGAGAGAAGTTAATACCCACAGGTACCAAAATATGAGATAGCAGTCAAAATGCCTGTTAATTACTGTAGAAGAACAAAGTCCCTTCATAAAACAAAGCTGCTAATTCACCGAGCTTCAGCTATGATTTATATGTGTGTATAGGAACTCAAACAGTTAAACGTAAACATTTAATAACATTTTCTCATGGATGCAAAGGAGATGTATCGCTTCTCTTTTTAGAACCATTTATTAGCAATTTATAGCCTTTAGGACATAACCCCAAACCCTAGAAGTGCAGATGAGGCCTGTCTCTGCGGGTCTGCTTTTTGTCTCCTTTTCCTCCTAAAACATAAAGGTTTTGCTCCACCTGTGTGGAACCATCTCTACCATCCTGAAAGACTGCGCTCTCTGGCGCCTTGACCTATTATTACAAAACACGGCTGCCCCGGGAAAGCTCCTTCCCACTGCTGTCCCCTCTAGTCTGAGCAAGTCCCCTCCTCTGTGCCTGCATCATACTCTGTGCTCATTTCTCCTTAGTGTTGTGATATGTTCCACTGGACTCTTCAGCTTGCTTTCTTTGTTTGTTTTTTGTCTATTCTGGGCATGGCTTTGAGCTCCCACAATGCACAGACTCCGCCTTCATCTTTCTCCAGTGTCAGGCATACAGACTGTGTGGTCCACAGTCAATGTTTGTGAATGAATGACTGAATAGACAAAGGTTTTGTGCTGAACAAGACTTGTTCTGAAACAGAGGTCTGACTTGGGGTTGCCTCGGGAATGTAGATTCTGTCCTCTCAATATTTATGCTACAGAGAATGGGCAAGAACCATCTTCACACATAATCCCTCGTACTGCCGGCCATGGGCAGCATGCCGAGTGCACTTTCAGGATTTTTCCAACCCTTCCCACCGCCACGGGGCCCAGGTAGAAAGGGTCAGCGTGCATGCAAGCCCTTCTTCTACGTGTGGCAGAGATGAAGGGACACCTCTTCTGCCACAGGGAGCAGTGTCTTTCTGGTCTCTCTGGAGTTTGGCTTTGGTTACTTTTTAATCATCTCGGATCCCACCTCCTTTCCATGGCTGATGTCTCCTCAGCCCACGGGTACCAAAGCTTGCCTCCGAGGTGCTTTCTCTCCCACGGGGCAGCTTGTCCACTCCTTGTGGCACCCAGCACAATTTGTGTTTACATGTTTATGTCCCGACTGCCTCTCTGAGGGTTGGATGACGCTCCTCAAGAGCAGAGTTGGTCCCGACACTGCAGTTAACGCTTCGTCGGCCACAGGCGAGCATCTGGCAGGAGGGGTTTGGGACCAGTTACTTTCTAAGTACCTATTTCTAACTGGTGTGTCAACTTAAAAAAATCATGTAATTTAATTCTCAAAAAACAAACTGGGAGGTAGGAATTGGTATCATTATTTTACCAATAAGGAAATAACCCCAAGAGAAATTGACTTGGTCAAAATAATAGCCAGTGATAGGAATAAAGACTTGGACCCAGGTTTTCTGACAGGAAGTCAGGTTTTTTTTTTTTTTTTTACTTCTACAATATCTTCAGAGAAAATTGCAGAAGTGCTGAAATACGGTTGGCTGTTCTGAAGATGGCAGTGGAGATCCTATAGTGCCCACGGTCAATGCACTCTAAGCAAGAGAAAGAAAATCAACAAGGCAATAATGAAATGATGGCAGAAATGATCCAAATGGCCTGTTGAACCCACTACTAAGCTTTCCTTCAAGCCACTATAATAACCTAGTTTATTATGAAACATTGAGATCTCAATCTGCAATTCACACCAGACGCCCTGTCGTCTAAATTGTACGTCATCTCGTCTTCAGGAAGCTTTTTATGAACTGAGTTGATAAGTGTCAACACTAAGGTCTTATCAGTTTGAGTGAAGAAAATTCAAACATAGAATTCAATTCAGTCAAGACTTTATTTATTGGGTGAAAACCAATCATAATGAGGCTCTGAGGTCATTATTCTAGTTTTCAGAATTTGCTTTCGGAGCGAACACTAGAAAATATTTCATTTTCAAAACATAATGCCTTGTACATACTAGTGTAAAGCACTATGACTCAGAAGTTGTAGTTATAATATCTATGTATAAAAACTGCTGTGAGAACACATGGAAATAGTAGTAAGCTTCTGTGAATTTTGATGAGCAAATAACATCGATTCAAGTCTCTGTGAATTAAAAGCTGAGAAACGTCTACGAACCTTCTCCTTTGATACCATATTGTCTGCTAAACTACAGAAATCGCTCCTTGTCTATTCTCATAATAAATGCGGGTGTTTTAATACAATGTTCTGCAAATGATTTTGACTGGAATCCACAGGGAAAGAAAGAGTCATTCCTCCTGCCTGTGATAGGAACCAGAGAGGCTGCTCCCAGAGAGAGGCATTTGGATTGGGTCTTGGAGAATGAAGAGGACCTCACTGGGCAAATGAGGAGATTTGTGTCTTCCTGGGGAAGGACAGCACGAACAAAGATGGACAGAGGGGAGATGCATGTGCAGTGGGTACTGAGAGTGGGTGGAATTCCCATGAGCATGGAGGACAAAGAGAGCAAAGAGAAAGGCAAGGATGGGGAAACAAAAGGTGGGGGGAGTAAGTCGAAGCCAAGAAGAGACTCATGACATGTTGAGTCATTTAGGCTTCATCTCGAGAGCATGGGAAGTATTTCATCATATGAAATTAAAGACAAATGTCAAACACAAAGATATGAACCGATGTGACCCTTGTAAAGAAGTTAACTAAACATACATCTCTTTGTTCGTAGGAATCTGCGGAGAAAATTAAGAACAGAGACGGACTTTCTTGCATTATTAACATGAAGCAATGATGGTTCTAGTACGTGGTCAGCATCTGTAGGTGAGTGGTCTGCTGAGACCCAGGAGTGCACCGGTTTAGAATCTCAGGGTGTGGAGCTGAAACAACTGAACTACTTTTAGTTGCTTTAAACTTTAAAGTCTCCAGTGTGACATGACACTTCTCTGGGCCTTGGCTTTTTGAAACTATAAGTGAGGAAGTGAAATTAGATCAATGATTTATATCAGTGATTGGCAATTTTTTCTATAAAGGGGTAGATCATAAATATTTAGGATTTGAGAGTTATCACAGCTACTTACCTCTGCCACTGTAGCTGAAAAGCAGCCATGGACAACATATAAATAAATGAACGCAGCTGGGTTCCAATAAAACTTTATGGACAGGGAAACATGGATTTTGTAGTTTTCATGTGTTGAGAAGTAGTATTTTTCTTATAACTTTTTCAGCCATTAGAAACGTGTTTGCAGGCCATAAAAAACAGGCAGTGGGCTGGATTTAGCCCATAGACTATTGTTAGCTGATCTTTATTTCTATATGCCTTACTTACTTACAAGAAAAATGTAATACTTTTCAAAAGCTCAACAATAGTATATTTTTCCAGTTTTTTTACATGGAAAATAGTATAAAAAATAGTATATTTAAAAAATATAGTCAATTTGTACTGACAAAACTGGTGCTGGTTATAGGGGCACTTGCTTTATGATTATAGAGATTTATTGAAGAATATTCTATAGGTCCAAAATAAAATAACTTTTCTTATACCTCCACCATGATCATAGAATAGTTTAAAAAGAAATTGCTTCATCATTTCATATTGTCACTCACAGGGATAAGAGGATATTTTAAACATACATTAGTATTTTAAGACACTATTTTAAAAAATGAGGAAGGATTGAACAGATATTTATATACTGATGTTCATAGCAACATTATTCCCAATAGGCAAAAGGTGGAGATAACCCAAATATCCACTGGTGGATAAATAGATAAACATAAAGTGATATATACATTCAAAGGACTATTATTCAGCCTTGAAAAGGAATGAGGCTCTCATATGCATTACAACATGGATAAACCTTGAAGACATTATGCTAAATGAAATAAGCCAGACACAAAAGGACTGAAATCTTTTTCTTCCACTTGTATGAGGTACCTAGAGTAGTCACACTCATGGAGACAAAGAGTAGAGTGGTGGCTGCCAGGGGCTGGGCAGAGGGAGAATGGAGACTTGATGTGTAATGGGCACAGAGCTGGAGTTTGGGAAGAGGGAAAAGTTCAGTGGGTGGATGGTGGTGACGATGGTATAGCAATGTGAATGCACTTAATGCCACCAAGCTGTGCACTTAAAAATGGTTCAGCTGGTCGATTGTATGCTGTGTGTATTTTAGCACAACAATTTAAAAAACGAGGATGAGAACAATGAAATGGGTTAATCTAGTATCACAAAAGACACAGGGAAGAGTGGAGAATAGGCTGTAGGACTGAAACCTCGTACGGAAATACAGAATTCTTGGAACACAAAATGACCGCGACAACATCAATGTCTGTTTGTCGAGCATCCTTTGTATTACCAATGTCTGTTTTTTAAATACTCTATTTCAGAACACATTATTTCAGAGAATCCTCTCAACTGACATTTTTACAAAGGAAGACAGAGAGGCTCATTGTCAAGAAACCAACAGGCAAGTTGCAAACCCATGACTGTGTTTTCAAAGCAAATCCATGATCTTGCCTCCAAAGCTTCTGTGTGAAGCCACAGTGGGACACTGTCCCCCTAGAATTCTGAGCTGACCCATTTTACAGTGTGTGGAAATCCTCTGTTATGGAACACAAGATTTTCAGGGTCCTTCATAGCCCCACTGCTACCTCTGAAGGACGGAGGTCTCAAATAACTGCATTTTCTCAAGGTCTGGATCCGCAGCGCCGGACCTACGTGTTGCTGGTCTATGGAAAGTCTAAAAGGCTCATGCGGAGCTGCTGGCAGATGGAGCTGTGCACCAGGTTGGTTTCCATCTTCTCTCTCGGCAGTATGACTAGTATAGCCTTGTAGTTGTCCGAGTCCCACCTCAAACGTTTATACAACACCACTAAATAATAAATATGTGCATGCCTTACCTCCCCGCTTGATTGTAAAGGCAGGAGCTGAGCCTGTTTAATATTTATATCCTCCATAAGATCACCCTGTGCATTGCTTTGCACCAAGTAGGCACTCAGCAAATATTTGTTGAATGAGTGCATAAATGAATGTTAAATAATCTGCCTCCAGATTTTTCCTTTTGTTTCAAATTTTCTCCTCCATCTGACATATGCAAGTGCCTTCCGTGTCCCTTTCGTGGATATTACAGATGCCCTCAACTCTTTTTCATGTGCTTCTGGCCCAATTTTTCTCATCCCTGCCAAAGCAGACTGGGGGCCAAAAATAGAACCTCCTTGACAATTTTGCAGAGGACTTACAAGCCCCGGCTCCTGGGGTGGCCATACTGATTCCATTCGAGCAGAATGGAAGTTTCATGACTGCCATATTCTGGATTTTGCCTGCCATTTAAAAGGGATCGAAGTTATCCCTATGTGGTAGTTAACACAAATACCAACCACCCTTGGAAGGTGGGGTTCGAGACAAATAGAGGGCTGTCATCACATAGAGGAATGTCACAGCTTGTCTTAAGGATGCTTGAAGATGCTTCAAAAGGAGACAGAATTCCATCTCTCTCTCTCCCTCCCACCCGCCTTCCTCCCTCAACAGCCACCTACTTTCTTATTTCCTCTCTTTTTTTTTTCTTTCGATCTCTGGTTTATAGCAGGGGCAGTGAGTCAAGCGTTTCTAAGCCAGTGCATATTATGAAGATGCAAGACAAGAATGGGTATAAACGCATATTCTGCCATAATGCTGATTCCTTTGGATTACACTGGGGAAAAGCCAAAGCAACAGACTGTGCCTTGATCTAGAATTATCTCTAATCCATCAGGAATGCTATTGAGATTGTAGAAAGATAGGAGAGATACAGAGCTAATAGTACAAGGTGAAATGACTAAGTTGTTTTACGTACTGCTCAATTTTCTCTCTTCACCCAGTGCAATCTTAGATATCTGGAACATTTATCTACCTCACAAAATGCCCAGAAGTACATTTGAAAATCTTGCAATGGCTACATTTTGTTTCTAGTCTGTGTTGTGCCTTTGTTCAAGGTTTCATCATCTCTTGCCTAAACCATTGCTATAAACCAAAGTATTGGCTTACTTTGTAACTAAAACTGGAATTGTCTTTCTAGGTCATACATAGGCAATTATCATTTTCCTGCTTTTCATCATTAGCTTATTGCCGCCCCCCCTCCCACCCCAAGCTCTGGTTTTCTTTTCCCCCAAGGACATATAATGTGGAATTCCCAATCCACCCAACATTCTAACAGCTGACTCTTCAGTGGGAGTGGGGCTGGGTACAGGCAGAGTCCCTACTCACTCAGTCTGTCTCACCACATCTTTTGCCCCCTTGACCTTGACTAGTCCCCATCGTCCTGGTGACATCTCCAGCATCCCCTTAGGACCCAAGACTCCCACCCACCCTCTTCAGCTGACCCTCCATGCAGCAGCTTCAGCTCCAGGCACTCCCTGTGTTTTCTGTCTTTGCACCATCTACCTCCTGCACCCCAGCGGTCCCTTCTCATCCTTCGAGAAGGAGTTCAGGTGTCACCTTCTCTTGGAACCATCTACAACATCCCCAGAGAGAGTTGGTCAGCTTCTGTGTCCATGGCTCTTCCCGCCCATCTCTCCTATGCTGCTTACTACGTGGTTTGGCAGATCTCTCTCTGCAACTGATTCATCCTGATCTTGGCTACCAGAGAGGCTGTGTCTTATTGTGTTTGTTCTTTCATTTCTGTTCATGTCACCTCACACAGTACTGGTCCACAGCAGATTGTAAATGATCATCACTGGATAATGGGAAAAAATGGTACACCGAACCCGAATCAGAATCAAAGAGTATTTAAGTTCATTAATTGCTTAGCAAATTTAGTGAAAATAAGTGAACATGTTCTTCACTCTTGGTGGAGGAAACTAGCATTGTGCCTTTGTCCTTTAAACTACAGCACCAAGACAAAATAGACTTTTTAGCCCACGTTCTCAGTCAAAGTGTCCAGATTTGAACAAAACTGCAGAACATGGTTCCCTAGCATTCCTGGGAAATGATTCTCCTTCTCTTTCAAGGCCCGAGTAGCACATTCCCTTGTCCCCGGGAGATTTGCTGGCTTCTCAGCCCTGTGTTTGTCTCCTTTTATTTAACAACTCTTAAAGCAATTGCCTCTACTGCATAGTCCATTCCTGAATTCCCTACTGTGGACACATTCAGTGCTTTGAGTCGAAATGTGTTGATCCATGCAAGCAAAAGCTGGGTCTCCTGGCTCTTTGTACTCTGTCTCCTCTGCTAAGCAACAAAGGACTGGAATCTCCAAGGACCCCTTTTTTTTCAAAGCCTTAGCCAAAAAAAATTTTTTCAGGGGAAATAGGCTTGCTGAAACATATGCCATTTATTATATTGAGCATGTGGGTCTTCTTTAGAAGTGTTATTGGAAAGTAGAGATTGCCATCCAAATAAAAGGAAAATTACTTAGCCGCTTCCACATTTCAAGGATGTGGCAGAATTTAACTATAGGCAAAAGATGTTTTTGCCAGGAGAGTCCAATAATGGTTATCATTGGGTATGCAAAAGAAAGTACCAAGTAAATGAGCTAGGTAGTCAGTATTGGGGATGCTTATTATTTTTTCTCTGGTAGGTAGGGAGTGAGGGAAATTGGGGGAAAAGGGGAGTTGGAAAATGGGATATTGTTGGGGACAGTGAGCCCCAGCATTATAGGGACAGGCTGGGCCTAGGGCAAGGAAGCGCTTTAAAGTATTTCTGGGGGATGGATGGGGAATTACAAGTTCAATATTCTCTTGACACTGGCTTTTGGTTGGTGGTGTACCTGAGGAGAGATGACGAGAAATGTGCCTGAACAGAGCATGGGAAGGAGAAAATAGTCACGAGAAGCGGAAGTAAGAAAGTGTGGAGAAGGAACAAACGTTCCTCTACCTGCAAGGCTCTTCTGGCTGGTCCAGTGATGAAATAGGCATGAGACAAAATAACCAAATTTAATACACACATTTGTATGTGAATCCCACACATATAAGAGGGTCAGGGACTCCACATGCAGGAGAGGTTCAGAGGGAGAAAGGGGGTTGAGGTATGCAGGGTTGGGCAAAAGTAGGTTACAGTAGTGAGTATGTGAAACATTTATCAATGGTCTCATTCTCCATCTGAACAACTGTAAACCTACTTTTGTCCCACCCTGTATACCTCATACCCTGTGTAAGACACCCCGGGCTAAGGATGAGGTAATGCATCTCCAGGGCTTCAAGGATCCTTGGAAGATGATAAGAGCAGATATTTAGTGAATAGAAGTTTTCCTTGCCCTAAGGATAGGCCAATAGAAGTTATCTCTGATCATTTCTTTTTATGGGCAAGGCCCCTGATTCAAGTTCTTGTAGGGAGTTAAAGGTTGGGGGGGCAGGGGGTAGAGATAAGTTACTCTTGAGCCTGAAGCTGAAATTGCCATTAGATCAAAGTAATCTGCAGACCACCAAAGTACACCTTGGGTTGGCTTGTTCTGAGCCTCTCCCCACCCCTCCCAGGGATCAAGAATGGCAATTGACCTGTGGGGAATCCCATGGATGCCATGCCTCCTCTAGTTCATGGGCTGGGAACTCAAACCCTTTTATTTGGACATTAAAGGAAAAGGCACCCCTTTCCTTTCGGGCTACAAAAAGAATGTAGAGCAGAAGGCTGTGTGTGCTCTCTTACTAGGGGATGTGCCGCTCCCCTAGCAGGCCTACGGGCGGGCCTCTGTAGATCTGGGCATCTGTGTTTGGGAGGGCTTGTGTCACATTTGTCACATGAACTACAACAGAGAATTTTGTTGTACAAATGTGAAACCATCTTTTAATTTTGCTTTTGATATTATTATCTATTTTTGATGTAATTATTAATTTCCATGTTAGAGTTTAGTTATTTGGGGCCCAATAACTGTTTAGAGATCAGATCTTAAACATTTTCATGAACAATTTGCAAAGCCTGTGAGCCTTCAATCTTGTTTAATACGGCAGGTGGACAAAGTGTCCGCACATGAAAGGAAGCTCTTTCTTCCAGAAGTTAAGCCAATTCCCTAAGAGGCATTATCAGCATCCCTCAAAAAACTCAGATATTTGACTCAACCACAAATGCTTGATTTAGGCCCTGATTTTTCAAAAGAAATTTCAGTAGGTTAATTGAAAATAGCACAGAAATAATTTTTCATGTAGGTCTTTATCTATAAGCCTTTTGGTTATCAATTGGGGTCTTGTTTGTAATTAAAAAAGAAAGCAAACCAATGCATGCAGTAATTAGTAAATTAAAACCTTCAAAGTAAACCTCAAGGCCTGATAAGCGCTCTAATTTTTTTCAGTGTTTTTATTTCGAGAGATTATTTAAGGTATAGGTTTTATAAATATTTTCCTTTTGAGTAGAATTCCCTGAGCTAATCAGATGCTGAGCGGCATTGCCTTTAATTTTATCTGGCCCAGCTCCTCTCCATCTGTTTTCCCAGAATGCTCTCATTCTCTCCTCCAGATGTTTGGCACAACCTCTCAACTTGATGTCTATTTCTTCTTGTTCTCCTTCACCTCACATGAACCTTCCAAGTCATAATTCTTTGGAAATAGACACAGGGAGATTTATTTCAAATGACCATCTTTTACTTAAGGAGTTCCATCTCTCAGGTCAGTACAAGTCAAAAAAATTTTTTCGTTCTCATTTTAGAATTTCTTGGCTGTACGTATTAAAAAGAGAAAGAAAGAAAGAAAGCAGAAGTGCAAGATTGTTAGGCAACATCCTCATGTTCACATAAGCCAAGAGACTCGGTAATAGGAATTAAACATCACGAATTTTACTTCTGACTCTTTTTTGACATTTGATTTACTGCAAACTGAAGCTATTC